CTTTACATTTAATTTCTTGTCATGCCTGATGGATTCATTCTGCTTTGCTTCCTGGGGTTGTGATCCTCATTGTCTTTTCCTAGGATATTGTTTAAAGCTTTTTGGAGTGCTGGTTGGTAAGCATGAAGTTCATTGGGTGCTCTTTGTCATGAAAGCATATTATTTCTCCATCAATTCTGAAAGAAAGTTTTGCAGGGTACATCAATCTTGGTGGGAGGTTGTTTTCTTTTAGGACTAGAAATGCTTCACTCCAGGCTCTTCTTGCCTTGAGGGTTTGAGGGTCGGCTGTGATTCTGATGGACTTTCCTTTGTATGTGATTTGTTTCTTTTCTCTAACTGTTTGTAGAATTTTATTCTTCTGTTGGGTTTCTGGAATCTTAACTATTATGTCTTGGTATAGACTTTTTTTAATCATGGCTAGTTGGACTTCTATATGTCTCACTTAACTGCATGTCAAGTTCTTTTCCCCTGCTTAGGAAGTTTTCTGCCATTACTTCTGTGAACATTTTTTTTATGTCATTTGCACTTTCTCCTGTTTCTGCATTGACTCTGATCAGTCTTATGTTGTTCTTCTTTGCATCATCTAGCATCTGCTGGATTGATTTCTTGTGGTTCCTTTGTATTTTTAAGAAAGTTTTTCCTTTCCTGGCCACTAATTGCAATCCTGTATTCTAGATCTGATATTCTCTCCTTACATTGGCTTATTGTGCTGCATAAACTATCAATAGAGTTTTTAATCTCCTGGAAATCTGTTTGCATCTGTTTTATGGATTCCATTTGTTTCCTATGATGAGAGTCCATCATGTTCCTCTGCTCCTCTAATTTTTATCTGTGTCTTCTCTAGAGTTATTAATCATGTCTTGCATTATGGACACAATCTTTGTTGTTATCCGAGAAATTATTTCTGAATTCATTTTTTTCCAGATCCTCTTTCATTGCCAGTTCAGGGAGTCCAGGTTGTTCAGTATCAGATTTTTCCATTTTATTGCCCTTTGGGTTTGCCTTAGCTTATCTGGATGTCTGTTTTTGAGACTTCTTTATGTGTCTTCTCATTTCAACAGATGCAGCTTGGTGCACCTTTGTTGAGGTGACTTTTTGCTTGCCCAGTTGTCTTCAATACTCAGCAAGTCATTGAAAGGCCTTTTCTCTGCTGCTTACCACAATGCCAATTCCTGAGTTCAGAATGGTGGCCTTCTGCATACCTGTGCTGCCCTGTTGTCTGGGCAGGGCTCTCACTGGGCCCTGTGCACACTTGGGATGATATCTGGGCATGCACATGACTGGGGCCTGCCCCCTGAGTAGCTGTTTTCTGGGAAAGCCTTTGGCTGGGGACTGTGCACCTGAGTCACTGGTGTCTGAGTGAGCTTCTGGCTGGGGTCTGCATGCACTTACCAATGGTATCTGGGTGGGCCTCTGGCTGTTGCTTGTGCTCCTGTGCAGCACTTTTTCAGGCAGGCCTTTAGCTGGGGCCTGTGTGCTCAAGCTGCTGGAGTCTGGGCAGGGCCCTGCCTGGGACCTGAGTGCACCCATGAAGCTCTGGTCCACAGGGGCTTCTCACTGAGATCTCTGTTTCCATCTTTTGTGAATAATATTGTAATAAACCTCTCTGTACAAATTTTTGTTTGAATATCTGTTTTCAGTTACTCTGAGCATAATGCATTTCTGAATCATATACTTGTTTAAGTTTTTTTGTGGTACTAGGGGTTAAATCCAGGGCCTTCATACTGAGCTATATATCCCTAGCCTCTTTTACAGTTTTTAAAAATATTGAGACAGGGTCTCACTATATTGCAAGTTGCTCAGGCTAGTGTGGAATTTGTAATCTTCCTGTCTCAGCCTCCCAGAGTGCTGGGATTACAGATGTGAGCCATCTAATTGAGCTTTTGTTGAACTCTTTGAGGTACTGCCAAGCTGTTTTCTATAACAATTGAAACATTTCACATTCCCACCAGCAATATATGAGGTTTCCAATTTTCTCACATCTTCAACACTTGTTATTTTGTTTTTTTAATTAAATAAAATTATTATTTGAGCCATCCCAGTGGGTGTTAAGTTTTTATTTTCATTTTCCAAATGATTGACAAATTAAAATATATTTTCATGCGCTTGTCGGTCACTTGTACATTTTCACTGGAGATTTTAAGTCCTTTCCCTGGAAACAATTTAAGGGTCCTTAAATGCACAAATGGAAAGTCCCTGGAAAGAGAATTTCTTAAAAAACTGGAAAGCTTTATTCAATGGAAATGGACAGCATTGAGAGAGAGAAGGACAGAGAGCCATGTAAAATATTCAAGGTATGATTTGATGAATTATAATTTCCAGCCACTGGATCACTGCCCAAGCCTCAAAGGTACCTGTCCAAGAAGTTTGGAGAATTAATATTCTAACTGGAATTATTGACAAGATGGAAGGAGAGGCCTGAAGAACAAGTACAGGTTGAGACCAGTCTGAGCTATACTCATGTCTGAGGAGAGCGTATCTGTCAGTGCGGATTACCCAACTCAAGTGGGAGAAGGTGGGCAAGGTATATTTAAACACAGAGGATGGATATTATGATGTAGAATTTATTGGTTTGACATATTTTCATTATAGAGCACCCAAAATACAAAATCTAGAGGCATATGATTGAAAGCAAATGTATGCATCAGAACACGACACTTAATCTAGCAAGAGGTACTGAGAAAGAAAGGAACCTGCTTGGGAAACACAGTAAGTTCTAGACCAATTGAAGAGTCCCCAAAATAAAAAGAAAGCAGAATCAGAGAATGAGAATAATGCACTGGGTGCATAAATCAGGACTGCAGCCAAACATTGCACAGAAAATAATAAAGATTTGGAATCTCCAAAGGCAAAGAGAGACAGAGCCTGGAGACACCTGGTAGAAGACATAGCTGGTTTCTAAGCACCAAGAATGTTTTCAGAATATTAAGAGCAGTCTTGCTAAGAATCTGTTGAAAGAGATTCTCTTTTGTATGTTTTTTGGCCTGGTAGTCTGGCTATAAATCTGTACATATGATAATCAACTTTATAAGGACTTAAAAGATAAATAAATGAATCTGATGTTGGCAAAAAAAGGGGAAGAGGGGAGGGAAAAAAGAATTGAGTTGTGTTATGTACATGTACCAATTCCCCACAATAAATGTAATCATTATGTACTGCAAACATATACTAATAAAACATTTTTTTAAATTAAAAATAGAGAGATTCTCCAGATACAGCAAGTATGAGGAGGCAGGTTATCAGACCTAAGCAATTTTATATCAAGAGGCCATGTAAAAAAAGATATTTAGCAAAGAACAGAAAACATCTTCCATATAAGAGTTAGTAAGAAATGAGACAGATTCCCATCTTTACTCAGCATGGGGCAGGGAAGAGGTCATCAGAGAGAGGACAGGGACACTGGGTTCACAGAGGAAATGGAAATGAAGAAATTTTTATTATGCTTGATAGGAAAGAGGAGAAATTCAAATAAGAAGTAGTGGCTAAGGCTACCTTTCTTGAACATGCCTGAAATCTCAAGAAAGCAGCAATGTCCTAAAAGAGATTTTTAGAGAGAAGAAAGTATACAGAGATGGATTTTATCTCTAACATCAGGTAATGCATGGTGTCAATGGGATTTTTTCCCCCTGTGGACTTAAGATTATAGTCATGTACTCCAGAAAACTGTCACTGATTGACCAGCATCCTAACAAGACTAAAAGAAAAAAATCTTTTAGTCTTCACTGCATCACTCAGAAACCACTGGGATCCTGACTAAAACTGAGCAGCAAGAGAAATTGGTTAGGATGATTTTGGAGTTAAGAATTTTGAACTTTGGACTTTCAACTCATAAAAAGGACAGGTGAGTTTGGTTTTGGACTTGAACTTCTCCAGAATTTGCTAATCTGCTGAGATTAATTCTCAAAATAAAGGCATATCTCCAGGGTTAGCACTTTTGTGTTAGAGTAATCTCATTCACTTTATACCAGTATGTTCCTCTGAGGCTATAATGGACAAAGCAATGAGACATCACAGATTATGAAAGAAGAGTGCAGGTGAATTCCAATGCTGTAGAGCACAGCCTTGGATTTACTTAACATGCTAGCCTTAGATCTTTCCATAGGCAGACTCTACGCTGCCCGTGAGTGGCTTCAGAAAACTCCTAAAGTTAGCTGTGTTGTAGTGAGGATGCATCTGAAAAGGTGTGGGTGAGATTTCCTTGGTATGCTTTTGATCACCTCCCCTGAGAGAGAGCCACATCTCTGGTCAGTTATATACTATAGTTAAGTCCAACGAGTTAAGCCAATGGGAAACAGAGACATAGGAAGCTGAAAAGCTTCTTTTACACTCTTAATAGTTCCTTTCAAGCAAAGAAAAATCATAAGCATTGTCATTCTCACCTGACACTTGGTCTCTCCAATCATTTATTCCTACCTCTTTCCTAAAAAGATGAAGCAACTTACTTGAATAGCAAATATGGGAAAAAATAACCCAGCTCACTTCAGCCCCACCAGCCTCCCCCCCGCCACTTCGGCAGTAGAAATTGAACTCAGGCCTTTGCACTGAGGCTATATCCCCAGACATACATACATTCATTCGTGTGTGTGTTTGTGTGTGTGTGTGTGCATTTCTTTGTTTGAGACAAGCTCATATTAAGTCACTCAGATACCCAAGCTGGGCTCAAATTTTCTCTGCTCTCACCTCGGCCTTCCAGAGTTTTGGTGAGGCAGGAGATTAAGGCATGGGCCTGGGGCAACTGGACGTGACCTGTCAATTGCAGACACTTGTTAACCCTGGGAGCAGAGCAGCGGCTCCTGAGCCCTGCACCTGATACCAATCAGGGAATACTGTCTTCAGTTCTTTTAGCGCAGGAACTTCACGAGATCAGGTGGAGCCCTGCACCTGCTAGCAATTTCTAGTATGAGATCAAGCAGGTTTTTGATAGGACGGCTTAGATCTGACCTCAGAAAGAGGCTATAAAAGATGGAGGCCATTACGCACCTGCTTGCTGTGTTCCATGGGCCTTACTTCTTTTCCTGCTCCAAGTGGCCCACACGCACTCTGCAGAGCACTTCTTTTAGAGTACTTTTTCTTCTAGAATGTTTCTTTTGCATTTCATTTTCATCTTCTTTTGCCCTATATAAATGTTAAACTTTCATGTTCACCACCTGTTCCATCTAATTCTTTTGAACAGGACAGTAGGCATCTGGAAAGGACCCACTGCTCACTACAACACCCAGTGACATCAGGATTACAGGTATGCTCGTGGCTTACCAGGCTTCCTTTTGGAAGTGAGCTGAGCAGAGTTTGTCTCCAGTCCTCCAGACTGTTAATCTTATACATATTTGTGTAGTTGTAATTGATTTACGTGGTCGCAATTTGTTCATTATCTAGCAGATGCCACAAAGACCCTCAAACAGAGTGAGAAAGGAGATGTTGCATTTCATTTTCATATGACTTTTGGAGGAATGGACATCTGGTCCTTGAAGCCTAGAGTGTGCAAATAATATATTTTATTCACTTATAACCTGATTGGCTGATAGCAGAGGCAGAGAGGCTTCTGCCAACTGTTGTCCCTATGGTCCTGGACATTCACATAGATATTTTCTTTGTCTTTCAACTTGGAAATCACCATTATTCTCATGAGCGGGACAATCTCATTGCTGCTTTGTTTCTTTTAGAACAGGAAGATAGTCCAATTAGATAAGGCCATCCAAGTTCTGTAATCAGTTAGAATTCCTCTTAATACGGTATAAAACCTAAACATTTGACATTCTGCCAAGCCAGAATTATTTGCGAGTTACAATAACAGATTTTAATGTTTGAGCTTTTGAGTGAAGAAAAATATAATAGGGTAATATAACTTTTTCCTTGTTAAATTCATCAACAACCTGGCTGGGGGAAAGGGAATAGCTATCAGCTATATTTCATTTGTTTTGTTTTTTGTTTTTTTTTAGACAAGGTCTCACTATGTAGCCCAGGCTGGCCTTGAACTTAGTGATTCACCTGCCTCAGCCTCCCGAGTGCTGGGATTAAAGGCATGTGCCACCATGCCCAGTCTATATGTCATTTTGAGATGTGCTCAGGTGCATATATTGATGGCCATAGCTAAAGGAGATTCTTTGGAGCATTTCCTCCTCTTTTATCTAAAGTCTTCCTCTTCCTTCCCTCTGCTAACCTCAAATTTCCTCATGAGAACTTTGTTGCCCACCTTGAATCTTCTGGCTATAATAACAATGTAATGTATTGTCAAGCTGGAATGTTGGATATGAAAGAGGAAATGAGTGTGAACTTTCTAGGTAAACCTGGTCACCATATTTATGACAGTTCCTCAGTGACCTTTCTGTCTTTATGGCTTGTTTCCTGAATGTCAATTAATTGTTAATAATCCTCTCAAGTACAAGTTCTAAGTCAAATCTTTCTGGTTGAAAATAAATCATTTAAGCTTAAGAAAATAAAAAGAGGCCCTTATGGAACCAGGGATTTGGAAAACATTGAGAACCAAAGATGTATACCAGTCTGTGGTCTTTGTATTCTCTCTGCTCCTCTGTTTGAGTCTTTCCTTTCTCTCTGGCCACAAATAATGGAATTTGTGAGAAACTGCAGGGTGCTAGCTCCTGGGCTCCTAATGAGGATTCCTTAGAAGATGTCTCATGTACACTAGCCATGTGGTGTTTAGTTCTCATAGTCACTGTGTAAGAGGTTTGTTTTCACTATTCACTGACTTCTGTTTTACAGTGTGGTTTCTTCATGGCACTGCTCCTTGCCAGGGGTCATCTAGAAAGGTGTGTGGCACAGGAAAGCACAGGTGCTCAGCATTCCTCATTCCCAACAATGAATGGGCCAATCCCCTGCCTCTCCCCACCCCTATGGCAATACTGAGAGATGATGAGACCCAGGGAGCTGCCTGTGGAGCCTGGATGGCTGACATGTGTAGGTGCCTGGGTTAAGAAAGGCCTAGTGCTCTGGTATGCTCAGATTCTGTCAGCAGAGTGTGATGTCAGATCAGTACCTTCAGCAATTGTGGATAGGAAAATAAAAAACTGTATTGGAAAAGCAATTTCTGTTGTTGCATGCCTTTAACCGCTAGCTAAGCCAGATGTCAATAAGAAACATTTGTGGTTCTGGCCACATTACATGTGAGCTAATATTTTTTTTTTAATGGAATAATGGTGCTAAAATAGATGTCACTCTTGTACTCTCAGGACATACTGTCCTTCAGAAAGTAAATGTTAAAATTTCCCAACTAAGGTGAGCATCCTGTGCATGCTGACAAGGCATCGAGTTTTAAATATAGCCTATTTTGATCCCTGAGATATTTCAACCAATCTTATCAAAGCATTTTTCAAATGTCAGCCTCTTCTGTCACCTGCTTTTCATTGACTTTCTAATCTGTTGTTTCCCACACTCATTTTTAAGGGATATTTGGTCTGTGAACCCCAAGAACTTCCAAAATCTAGACCAGGTTCTGCAATTTCTTCCTCAATAGGATGAGTTTGGCTTTTCCTGGCATAGATTGTTGACCAGAGGAGGCACTACTAAGCTGGTCCTATAGGGGAACCTGAAGGTCAGCTGCTAGCTCCCCTCTCTACCTCCAGGCACACTGTGGCCTTTGTCTCCTCTGAGCTGTGACTCAGCCTTGTGGCTTAGGCTGGATGAGTGGAATCTTGGCTCCTCTCCTTAAGCTGATGCCTTGGAGAATACATCAGGCTGCTCCCATCTAGTATCAGAAGGTGGTATAGGGCAAGGTATACACTGACATTGCCTGGTGTTATCTAATAGCTTTCCTGAATGATGAAGGAACAAGAAATCCTGAAGTGCAAAAATAAAACTCATCAGCATCATTGAACTTCACAGCAGAATAGCACCTCTTCCTCTTCATTATTAATGAAGCCCAAAGAGCCTGTAATTTCAACCCAGGAAGCACCAAGAGTAGCTGTAGTAAACCGTCTTTGCCTTTTGAACTCTAAAGATTGCCACCTTCCAATGCTGGCAGCTGCTGGTGCACATCTGGCCTATGGTTCAGGTGTAAGCCTGCCGTGGTTGTGGGCAGGAGCTGAGGGTGCCAGGCTTGGAAGGGTGGCAGGTCATGGCCCATTTTCCTAGGCAGAATTCAGGGTAAGAACCACAAACAGATTTGCATAGGATTTTCTGGAATGTAATCGTGACTGTCTTTCTCTTCCCACACAGATGAACATTTCTATTTTCTGGGAAAACTGAAATAAACTGTTTTTCTCTTTATCTTCTGAACTCATGTCATTTGAACACCAATTTTAATAATTGGTATTCTATGGTTCATTGAACAATTGAGGTATTTTGACCTCTTTTAAAATGAGATAGTTGAAAATAAAGAGCATGGTGCATATTCATAATTACTTCAATTAAAGTTGTTTTTCAATTTCCAGTCATTTTCTCCAAGTCAGACATCAAAAGCTTTTTTAAAAAAGTTGCTATAGTTTAAAATGTCTAATATTAAGTGAATGGTCTGTGAATGGTCTGGAAGGGTCAAACCCATAAGAAGATATCCGGTTGTTGCTGCCCAGTTGGCTCATTACGTAGTAGTTAGAGCTAGGTGTGAAGCTGGAGTACCTACATAAGACATAAATATATTTATGTGTACAAATCCCGTCAAAAACATGTCATCCCTCTCTGAAAGGACCCTTCTCAGCCTCCAGCAGAGAATCCTCTGTCTTCCCTGTCTTGAAGACACGTTGAATCACCCACATTTTGCTGGTTGCATCTTCTCCTGAGCAACAATAAGATGACTTGATGTTGGGCTACAATCTAGCCTGACAGCGGAGTTTTTCTCTGAGTAAAGTGGGATTTTTATTTATAATTCTTCTATTTTTATTCACAATCTTGGCATAAACAGCACTAGTAATCTAAGATATGCAGAGAAGTAACTTGGCATTTATCAGAATCTCTCTCCCTTATTTTCAGAGTTGACCTTGGGAAAACCATGATTTAGTTTCTCTTCTTTGGAAGTAAAATTGGCCAGATTATTTTGGACCAAGGCAGTATAGGAATTACGGAAATTAAAATCTAAATGTCTGTATTCCCATAAATTTTTTTAAATGATATTTTACATATGCTTTAAACTATTTGGGAAGTTTTGTTTGCTCTAAAATGCAGTTCAGAAAAGGTGCATTTGGAACAAATGATGTCTTTGACATCACTGAGCTTCTCTGAAAACAAAGTTCCTCTGGGATCTAAGTGTGGTGTTTGGTTTTGAGTCTCTCCTGTGATACGTTTAATCTTCCCTAATTAGGAAAATTTAGCAAGATTTAAAAGCAACTGTGTTCCTCCTTGGTGGATCCAGTCCATTGGTAAATAAGGGAACTTCAGAGCAGGCTCTTGTGTTTCTGTGGGTAATGGGATCCCACCCAGACAGGTTCCTAGGTTCTTGTGTGCAACAAAAAACAGAATTGGACATGGTAGGCGACGGTGAGAAAAAACAGCAGTTTTAACCAGATGACACTGCCCTCAGAATGAGCAGACTCTTAGGGCTGGGGATTTGGCTCAGTGGTTTTGCCGCCTGCTGTGCAAGCACAAGGACTCGAGTTTGATCCCCGGTACCAAAAAAAAAAAAAAGAATGAGCAGGCTCCTAGCAGCAGAAAGGAAAATGGCATGAGCACTGAATGCATTGGGTCTAAGAATTTAAAATGTTATGCTGGGACTAGGGGATGACCTATTGAGTCTTCCAAAGCATGATTGACAGAGTGCTAAGTTATGTCAGCTCTATCTACTGCACATGTCCTTTCCCATAATTCACTGTTACAATTGGATGATGATATGCAGTCCATATACACAAACATTTGATGAATTCCAAGTAAAGAAAGGTTCATGTAGGTCATGTGGGCAGGTCTGGCATGCATGTGTCCTGGTTTGGGTTTTCAGAATCTTCCAATGGGTCTTTGTTTTTCTTATCTCTGGCTCTGAGTAGTAGGCCTTAGGACAAAGATCATGGAGTTGGCCCTGGGGCATTGCCCAGGTTCAGGTGAGTGGAGGGGAGTAGTCCCATAGTGCCAATTGTACTGTCTATGTCACTTGTACTTCACAAAAGATCAAAATCAGTGGAAAGATGGGGGTGGAGAGGGGAAGGTCAGATAGACCTGGGACCTGAGACTGCTTCTCCTGCTTAGCATGTCACAGCACCACATTTTGGAGAAGGGTTTTCTGAGTTTCAGCACTCACATGTAAGCTCATCAGAGTGCTTGAGAGAAAGTCTGTTTCTTGGGTGTGAACTCATTCAGCTTTGTGCAGAGCATTCCATATGCTGAGGGTGAGATCTGGGTTTGGGGACACTTTGCATCCACGACTGTTCTCTTTCATCAAACTCTCCCCATCTCCCTCACTGCTCTGCTGTGTCAAAGCAGTAGTTTAGAACCACAGATTCTGAGCTGAGCCTTTTAGTTTGAAGTTTGACAAACTTGGCAGGAAGTGTAGGACTGGAATGATCTTGAAGTCTGAGGTAAATTTGGCTTCTAAGTAAGTATGGGAGAAAAAAATTCACTTGAGAGACTTTACCCCCTTGGAGCTTTCATAAGGTGCTAAAAGCATGACTTCTCAATGATTCATTTTTATTGCCTGCAGATGAAATTAAATACAATTAAAATAGGATATTTTGAAGAAATCTGTGTTGACAGCTTAGCCTGGTAGCTTTATGCCAACTACAGTTAGCATCAGTTTGGATCACTAGAGACATAAAAACCAGCCTAAATCTGGGTTCTTGGAGTCACTCTGTGTCCAGGGTGTAGGAAGGCAGGGAGTTAGGGGCCTCAACCTCCAGTAGTACAATTGGCAGACCCATTACTTAGTGCCATAGCTGCTCTGGGAAGGGATGGGCAATTTGTCTCTACCAGATTTGGATTCTTCTATTGCTTCCTCCTCCTCCTGCCGAACTGGACCCTCATCACTGCCTCCTTCCATGTAGTCTGTAATAGAGCTCAATTTTTAGTGTTATGAGGGATAAAAGATTTTCAGTTTTGGGGGAGTGAATGGGGGCCCAGATCACCACTTAAGTGGTTAAGTATTTTTCCCCACCCCCTTTCCACAGGGAGACTGCTCAACTTTTCTGTGCTGCCTTTCTTCTGAAGATAAAAAGTTAGTGTCCAGAAGCAGGATCCTGAAAAGCAGAATCGAGAAGACGACTTTAGGTATGAAAGACTAGATCTAATAAACACAGAACTAAAAAGCCAGAAGGGACAGAGGAAAGAGCCTGAGGGATTCAATGTTATGATAAAAATCTTTTCTGCCTGTCCTTTTACCACCTTGTTTTAGAGTTGGGGAAAGATTGTTTGCAAGGCTTTGCTTGAATTTTTATTTCTATTGAGATGAATTCTAAGGATTATTACATTTATAGTAGATCATGGTTTTGGCTTAGCCTTTTGTATTTGGCCTCAACAGACCAGCCCAAACCAGAATGGAGTCACCCATGCTAGGTGCCAGATGATCAAACTGAACTCTGATATGAGATAATTTTCCAAAAATATAGGAGATTTGCTGCAACCAGTTAAGAGGCCCAGTTTACACAGAAGTCTCTCATTTTAATGCTATAAGAAAAGTAACTGAAAGAACCAAGCAATGTTTTTATTTCTGTATTTCTCAGTCTTTTTCTATCTATAAACCCAATCTTCACTGCTCAGAAGTGTTTTGCTTACCAAAACACTCATTCTTTTTCAGAGAATGAGATAATTGCCCAGTTCATGCAATTAAAAGCCAATGGGATATACAACTAAATTTGTTGTAATTTTGTCTTTTGACAGGATGGAGTAAAAAGGGTCAGGTTTACTTTGGTTCTGTCCAAATCTTAGCATAAACTGAGAGCTAGCCAAGTGCAAACAAGGTTTGGCCAGATGGGCTGAGACTGGAAATGGGCAGAGGATTCCAGAAGGGCATGTACGGTGAGGCACCTCTGACACATTTTGCCTTTGCTTGGTTCCACCCGGACTGCCCCTCTGATCTCCTTGTTTTTGGCCTTTGGAGTGCCCTTGCTGCGTCAAAGGAGTACCCAGGCAGCTGCCACCAGGGAGTGGAGCAATTGGCAGCTGGGTCCTGGGCAGAGGTCCAACTGCTCTCACTGCCAACACTCTGGCTCTACCCACCCTGCCAACCTACTAGGAAGTCAAGGGCAGACCCTCCTTTTCCTCCCCAGTTCCCCCACCAGGGTTCTAGGATTGACCTTGTGTAGAGTTCCCAGACAGAAGTACTGCCAGCTTCTCTCCTGAAGCCAATTGTAGCCCAAGAGTTCCATGGTGCTCTTCCAGGCTAGCAGGCATGGATGGAGAAAATCTGGGTAGAGAAAGTTGGCTCTTCATTGCCCATTTGGCTCTCTCCAAAAAAGATTTATAACTAGGGAGTTCACTGCTTCTGTGGTACTTTAGAGAACAGTTCCTTGCTTGGCAGAGGAAGAGAAACTTTTGTGGAAAGTACCTGTCATTCATGTTTCTGGCAGACTTACAAGTATTTTTACGTTATAAATGTAGTTCTGACTGACCACTCACTTTCCAAATGGAGGCGGTATTTGTAAGGTCACTGCTTGAAGTATGTGCCAATTGTCAGGCAAATGTAATGGGGCTCAGACAAAGAGCAAAGGGCCATCAGTTCTTCCTTTTGAGAAGTGGAGAGGTGAGGAGATGGACTCTCTTTGACAGCCCTGATCCTACCCCAGTAATATACCCCCCACCTTCAGGAGCAAATGCTTTCCCTCAGGACCTAAGAGGAACTGGGAGATGCTAAGGTAAATTGATTTCAAATATTATGAATTAAATCTGCCTCCCCACCCAAATATTGAAGTCCTAACCCCTAACATCTCAGTATGTAACCTTATGTTTGGAAATGGGTTTTCTTCTCCCCCTCCTTTCTTTTATATGTAATTAAGGTGAGATTGTACTGGAGTAGGGAGGTCCATTGTTTCAACATTACTGATGTCCTTAAAGGGAGGAGAAGGCCATAGGAAGAGGCAGAGATACACAGGAAGGAGGTGGCAACATCTCAGGTGGAAGCAGAGAAAAGTGATGCTTCTATAAACTAAAGAATGCTGCTGATTGCCAAGAACTACCAGAAGCTAGGAAGGAGCAAGGAAGGATCTTCCACTAGAACCTTAGAAATAGCGTATCTTAATTTCAGATTTTTATATTTCAGAATTTAAAAGGAATACATGTTTGCTATTGTAAGCCACCCCATTCTTGGTACTTTGTTACAGCAGCCCTAGAAAATTAATATACCACTAAGTGATGTCTTGATAGTTGTCAACCTGAGGTTAACAAGTGGTGACCCCAATCAAACTTCCATTAGAAGCACCAGGGCAGGGCTTGCACTGAAGGAAAATGCTTTTGATTTCTATCTAAAGATGCTTCTCTGCCATTGGTCCTTAGAGGATTGGTAGTCCTTTCGTTCATATCAAACAAGCCAGAAGTATCAATATTTGTCATTTACTCCAATAATAGTGCTTACTCCTTGAGTTTTTGCCCTGTGGTTTAAATTATTGGACAAAATAATATGTGGGAGTAAAAACCCAATGATTTCCATTTGGTTTTAAGAGGAAAAGTCTTATCATTCCAGAAGGGAAAACCTGGTAAGAGCATGGGGAACTGGTTGTATCATCTTTAGGCTTGACTCACCCACCTCTGATTGTTGTTTGATGCTGAATTGACAAAACCTTAGCTTTTAGCCATAGCAGTAAGCTCCCCAAGAAACCTTGAGCTGTCCATGAAAAAAGTCAATTTGACATCACTTTGGAGATTAAATGGAGCGGAAGCCTGGAGAGGGTGACAAGGTAGAGACTGTAATCTAGGAATGGGAACTTCTTACTTGAGAGTAGTTTGCAGAGAAACAATTTAAAGATAAGGAGAAAAAGAGGGGTTTAATGTCTATGGCTAAATTCTGCATCTGGACAGGGCCCAGGTAAGGTTATGTGCCTTGTTTCATCCAGGGATGGGTAGGTTTCTTCAATAGATTTAAGAGCATATAGGTACACAGCACATTCCAGGTATCTTATAAAATCAAATACTATTTAAAAGAGGACAATTAAAGCTAAAGGACAAGAAAGCGATTATATGAGACAAAAGGAGAGAGGATCCCAAGCTCTAGCATAAAAGGAATGTGAACAACTAGAAACCAAAGCCAAAACAGAAATGATCATTTAGTTTTAACTGTATAAAATACAATCTCATATGGACACAAACATTTTCCTGGAAGTGAGTCAGAGAAGGTTTTTAATCCCATTAATTTATGAAGATGATTCTTATGCAGAAGTGATTTTACACACATATACATGTTTGTGATATATATCTTCCTCTAGATATGTGTGTGTATATGTATATTTATGTGTGTATATATATTTATGTGTATATATACATATACACACATGTATATAGCAAGAGAGAGATCATATAAAATTTCTTCAAAACTTCCTGAACTGAAATAAGGTCCAAAGTTTGTGAATTGATTCTCTTATTTCTATGACTGTTATTCTATTTTTAAGAAATACAGTGTATGTGATTAGAAGCCAGTTAAAACATAGGCATGATTTTACAAGCAACATATTCTCTTTTATCCACCATCAAGTCTTTGAGCCAGAGAAGCAGCTATGGGTGGTAAATGAAGACAATCATTTCCATGGTCTTACACAGCAAGAAACATCGATGATAACCTTTAATCCTCCAGGGGTGTAATTATCCTGTGAAAATCCCAGCTAGTAGAGAAGTCTCCTTGCTATTATTAGCTTTCTTTCAGGTTAGAATGTCAGTATATACTGAAAGTCATTCACTGAAAATTACTGGTTTCTCTATCAGTGTTTGAAATCTGAGCTCCGTAGTGATTAATTTGGTCCTTGAAGTAGGTGAGGGTTTGGCTCTCTTAGTGCAAAGCTTGGTGCTTAGTAAATCAACATACGGCTCCTTTTTGTACTTTATGTGTGTGCCCAGAAAACAGCAGTACTACTAAGATTCTCGGTTCAAGACATTGTCTCATTGACTTTTTTCCTTTAAGAGATTCAAAGATTCTTAATGCTATTTCTTTTTAAACTTCATAATCATTGATGTGAGTGCTGCCCTATTATCTGGGCAAAAGAAAGCCCTGTCATTATATCACTTGGTTTCATGTGCCGGCTTCTCAGGTTCTCTGGGGAATATGTTGTCATATTTCCCAAGATCAACTATGGTTGAGCCGTGGGCAAAATGACTGACCTGTATAGCCAAATAATAGTAATAATAATGAATAAAATAAAAGATGAGAATGTTATGTGTAAATGAAATATGTTCAAAAATATGAATTCTCTTTACTTTTCAGTAAACATGTGTGCACACACATGCACACACAAATACTAATAGACTAGAAATACCACAAACTTTCTAATTAACCAAGTGACAAACTTTAAAATGATATGGGAAAAAAATCTATTCTAATATTTGGTGGATGGTGTTCATATTCATTGAACACTTCTCTAACCCAGGCAGTACAGACAGCCTATGCCCACTATGCATCAGATCCCAAGTACCTCTGCTCAGCAACTGCTGTTAGGTTCATTTACCCCTCAGGAAAGGAAGGCTGTGGAAGGTTAAGTGACTCATCCAAGTCTGTACACTTACTACTTACTATTCTTAAGGAAGAATATAAACTTGCATCTATATTGTTTCTAAGTTTTTCTCTTATTCTCCTTCTATTCCACCATGGATATTGATGACAGTTGGCTAAGTACGAAAGAACTTCTATAGTATCTATATTTTAGCCAGTAGATTATTGATATTCACTTTAGCCACTTCATAATTAACTACACCATCATTACAAGCCCTTCATTTTTCTTTGACTAAGTCAAATGACACACTCTATATAGGCTTAATTCAAGACATCGCTTTCCAGCAGACAGACACTGAGACTGCTTCCTTTCTTTATCTTGAGCCAGAACATGGCAGCTTCAGATCTTGCTCCATTACCCATCCCTATGGTTTTTTAAAACTTTTGCTACTGGGGATCAAACTCAAGACCTTGAGCTTTTGAGGCAGGCAGCAGCACCACTGAGCTAAATCCCTGGCCCACCATCCCTATGTTTTTAATGGCATTTGTAAATGAAGACATGCATAGTTCACCAACAACAGAATGTTCAGTCTTGAAAACTCTTGAGCTTTCCTGTGGCTCTTTGTCAGCTTGAGAAACA